AAGCCTTAATTTCATTCATATCTCCCCCTCTCACCGAATCTTGAAATCCCAGCAACTCATTAATCTTATCAGCAATAAGGTGGAAGGTTCTACCTCTAAGTTTGACCCTTAAATAGTCAATTACCAGATTGTCCTGCTCATCATATTCTTTTACTGATTCCATGTTACAGTAGAACCTTTTAATCACTTCAGGACAAAATTCTCCACCAATTATCAGCCAGTTTGAATAATATTCTAGGGGATCACTCAAGTCCAAATTAATCTGAGTATTTTTCTTTAAGCTTTCTATATCCACAGAAACAACAGGGCAAAATCTCTGGTTTGCAAAATCAGCCTTAAACTTAGCCAAATTCACTTCCTTATCAAGGTTTCCAACTAGTAATTCAGAGAAATCCAAGGTACTGAAAACCGGACCAGTAACTGAACGGTCAAGGCAGTGTGTTAAGTGTTAGTGGGTCAGCTTGGAGTTGACCCGGAGTCAGATCGGTGAGGAATTAAAAAAATTAAAAAATAATTAAAATTCTTATCACACCATCCAAAAATTCAATATCAATTTAATACCTTAAATTACCAAAAAAATAATCATATATTTACAATATATTTTCAAGTTTTAACTTTTTTTACATAACAAAATAACATCACATTGTCATACTGCCATCCCATGTCACCAAAATACTAAATATTCATCCTAGAAAACTATCAAAATAGATATATATATATATATATATTGGTACCTATAATGATTCAATCACTAAACCAACTAATAATTATCCACACCAAAGTTATCATTAACTTCATTTAAATCCATAGGCATTGAGACACTAAGAGGAGGAGGAGAAGCTACAGAAGGACCAGCACAAGCACTTGGAGTAATATCATCATCATTCAAAGGTGGAGACTCAGGAATATGCATGTCTTCATCACCTATACATGACAATAATTAAATTGTTAATGGTTATGTGAAAAAAATAGTTATACACTTTTGTATAAAAATAAAACTATAACAAAAGAGATTATTAATTTATTACAAACCTTCATCATGCCTCTCAATCTCAAAAGTTGATGTAGTTGCAATGTCTTTCATTATTGGCAACTCTTTCAAAATTTATTTCATCTAGATTATTGTAACATTTGAACTTTTGAGCTTAGAAGTACCAAAAATAGCCTGAATTGGATAGGCTACTAGACCCTTTTTGAGCAGAAGTCCCAAAGATGAGAAAGGAAGTCAAAGCAGTTTTAGGAACTAAACTGCAAAGTAAAAGTTTTAAGGGGCTAAAGTGTAATCAAAGTTAGAGGCTCCAGTAAAGTCTCGAAGGCCCAGAGAGAGAAAAGAGACTAGATAAAGGCCAAAGGTTAAGCTAGAAGCCTCAAAGAGAGGATTATATGAATCTAAGTCCAAATAGGGACTAAATCGTAAATTCAGAAAGTTATGACCAACAGGGATAAAAATGGAAGAGTACACAGAGAATTCCAAGAAAATCCCAAAAAATGGAAAATAATATTCTAAGGCTCTTCTGTGAAGAGAAAAGACAAAAATACCCCTGAGGTAGCTTCAATGGAATTTATGAGGTTATTGAGGTAATTATTTAAAATAGCAAGATACCTCAAAAATGTATACAAAAATTAGGTTAAATGTTTGAAAGGTTGTACTAATTTATAAAATTAGTCTCGCAACCAAAAGGCCAGTGGAGTGGCGTTAATAAATTAAAGAGCCGGTTTTGCCGATAAAAGGGCATTTTGGTAAATGAATTTTTATGCAAGGTTTAAAGGAAGTGTTATGACCTAAGAAAATTCATAGATATTCTCTAGAATTAAAATGAATTTATGAAGCAGACAAAAGAATTTTCTGAGCTCTAAAAGGCCATAAAGGAAGCCAGAGAAACGTGGGCCAAGTAAATTCGGAGAAATTAAGTTTGATCCAACGGCTAGGATCTAATCTCCCATCTCCTCCACCACTTTTATGACATTTGGCATCTTCTAGAAGGATGAGGTAAGCATGATGCAAGAAGATGATGCAATGATGATGTAAAAGTCAACTTGAAGTTCCAAAATTACACTTATCCTTTCTATTAGCCACCAAGGGTATTTTGGTCCATTCAAGTCAAATTTTTGGCTATAAATAGGCACTCCCTCCCCTCACATTTTCAGCCAAGCAAGGAAACATAGGGAAAACTCTGCCGCTCTTACATCTAGAGAGAGAAAGAGCTATTTCTAGTGAGAGAAGGTCCACCTAAGTTCAAGCTTCAAGATCAAGGTATGTGGTGGCTATAGCATCTGATTTGATACCTATTTTGAATAAGTTACTGTTCATATCTGATTCTGAAATTTTTCATGCTTAAATTGCACTCTGTGAGCTTTAAATCCATGGGTAGAACACTTTATTTGGATATGTGTATGATTTATGGTGATTTTTCAAAGTTAGGGTTTGAAATCTGGAAACAGTGTTGAACCTTTGAAAGAGTGTTGAGTTCCATACAATTTCGGTATTGTTATGAATAGAATTGGTTCCTGAAACTATTTTTTGTGTAAATTTAACTTAATTAGCTTTCAGTGAGACTTGTAACCACTCAGTTTCTATTTTTCTAGAATTAATTATGAATTTTCAAAGTTGAGAAAAAATTCTGGGTTTTCTGCGTGAACAGTACCCGCGAAGCATAATTTCCAGATTTGATATTCTTGAATCTAGGGCCATCTAAAGTTGTCCTAATTGACAAGAAATGGATCATAAGGATGGGAAATGATGAGATTTATGTTAGAAAAGCTAGAAAGAAAACCCTAAGACTAAGAGAAAGGGTTGAGGTTCAAGAGAGATAGTCTTGAACTTTATATAATCTAGTGGTCCTAATGGATTGTATGATCATTATGGTTATATTTAGGACTTTTGAAACATCCAAGAGGATGTTTGGTGATGTTAACCGAATGCCCACATGGTTGGAAAGTCAAGGGAGTCAAAGGAAAAGCAAGAGGAAAGCTTGAGATGCAAGGTAGTGAACTTACCTATTGTCATTGCTTGATGTTGTATGCTTGTGTGTTGCCGTGTACATGTTATTGAATGTTATTGTGACATGTTTTAACTACTGTAATTGCTATTCATGATGAGTAGATTATGTCTCCATGGCCATGCATCAAGAAGTTAGCTTTGAGCATGCTAATATGTCACTAATTAACAAGAGAATAAACAAGTTACGTGTAGTATATTAGCATCCATCTAGCATGATCATGTGGTATTGTTTGCTACTGAGATTCCCCCAAATCTCACCCCTCCCTAACCAACCATATAGGTCAATCATCAATGGGCAATAATGGCATGAGAAGCAAGGAGAAGAAAGTGGAGAATTATTAATGTCAATGAATGATATTATTATTCATTGTGTAATTCTCTTATTATGTAATTTATGTTATGGATGCATATGATGCCATGTAATTAATTATAATTCATGTATAGAAATGTATGAGCATGAATGGGAAAGAGTAAGCCCATGTCATGTATGCCAACGAAATAAAAAGAATTTAAGTAAAAGAGATGCTAAGAGATAAAACGTATGTCCTAGAGTAGTGAGTTTGTAGCTCTAGTTTGACCTATCAAATGAATAAATTAAATCACGATATTTGGAAGACTTATAGTACACATCCCAAGATTTAAAATGAGAGATAGATCATCTCAATTGGATGTGTACACAAGGAGATACGAATTTCCAAAGTTGAAGCACAGAATCTGGAAGTTTCAGATTTTTGAAATGAATAGTAATATCTATTGATTTAACTGTACGAATTGGGCAAGGAAAAGTCCAATTGGATATTTTTCCCTTAAATATCATCAAAATATCTTTCAATAGAATTTTAGATCACCTCAATACGATTTGTATGGAACTAGTTATGAATTTTTAAAGTTGGACCTGTAATCTGAAAATTTAACAGTGAATAGTAACCCGAGTAATTATGTTAAAAATTTAAATCCACGGGCTTGTGCCATGATTTTCTTGAACCGTAATGCTTACTAATGTGCACTCTGAGGGGTTAAAGGTAAGATGTTTCAATTATCAAATTCAGGAGTTGCATCTTCAACCATCCAAAAATCAACTTTATCAATCGATTCATAATCAATAGGATCATAATTTGTCTTCTTCTTGTTCAATAGATTCCTTCAATGACAAAATGTAAGAAAATCAACATTAATGAATTCTATATTCAATAAAAGCAAATAAGCAATATTCAATAAAAACATTCATAAATCAAAATTTTTAATATTACCTATATTTTAATCTCAGATTGTAGTTTGTAAAAACCAAATCATTTAACCTTTCATGTTCCAATCTATTTCTTCTTTTGTTATGAATCCGCTCAAATAAGCTCCAGTTCATCTCGCATCTAGAAGAAGAAGATGTTTGACTAAGAATACGTATTGCAACTTGTTGCAATTCCGGAATTGAACTCCCATAAAATGACCACCACTGATCTGCATAATAGAATAAATGATATTTAGTTATATTCATATATTTGATATTAAATATGTATTAATATGTGCTATTAAACATGATATAAATATACTTACGAGGATCTAGTTTTTGAGCTGCTTTTTCACATGAAAATCTATCAAAAGAATCCTTACGATCATGGTTAGATAAACACTTGCTGCATCATTGTACAAAAATCAAGATTTTCATTTGAGAAAGACTCAAAGACATCAATCAAATCTTTTTGCAATTTGTTCTTTTTTATGAAAGTTGGATTATACAAAAATGTAGGATTCTACATATAAGCTGCGGCATGAAGTTCTTGCTTCAAATGCTTGTCCCATCGAGCTTGAATAATGTTAGTGTAAGGCTTGTATAGCTCCTTATTCCTTTGAAAGATGTCCTTGATTCCATTTTTAGCCCTTTGCATCCCTTCATAGACATAAGGCAACGAGGGTTTTTCATCCGAATCAACTATCCTCAAAAGTCTCATAAGTGGAGACGCAATCTTCACAACTTGGTAACATTCATTCCAGAATCGATTGTCTAATACAATTGCACTGAAAGTTCTTCCAACTCAGTTCTTGCCAATTTGTGATCCACAAAATGTTTATCAATAGCCAACGCTCGCAAATCATGCTTGTGCAAATATATGCTATGCAAGGTAATGAATGTAGTTGCAAACCTTGTTGCACCAGGGCAAACAATTTCCTTCCAACCCGGTCTTTTCCTTAGCCATGACAAGAAGATTGTATGATTATATGCAAATATAGTGATTTTAGATGCCTTTGTTGCAAGATTTGACACATGAGGCATAGAAGCAATATCTCTCAAGACAAGATTCAAGTAATGAGCTGCACAAGATGACCAATAACTAGTTTTATATTTCTCTTTAATCAGTTTACCACATGCCACATAGTTAGCAGCATTGTCAGTCACCACATGAACTAGATTTTCAGGACCAACCCACTCAATAACTTCACAAAATAATGAGAGTAAAGTTTTAGCATCCTTAACTACATTTGAAGCATCAATTGATTTCACAAATACCATACCATGTATGGAATAGACTAAGAAATTAATCAAAATTCTTTGTCTAACATTAGTCGAACCATCAGCCATGAGTGTACAACCATTTTCTTTCCATTTTGCACGATGACTCTCAATCAGTAACTGACATTCCTTCTTCCAATCTTTCAACAAGTTAACTTTAAAATCATAAGCATTAGGGGCTTTAAAACCAGGCCTAATTGCAGGAATAGCATCAACAACTTTTTGAAAAAGAGGACAATCCAATGCATTAAATGGAATGCAATTAAGAATAACCCATTGAGCAATAACCATCTTGGCATTATATTGTGCTTCTTTAGTTGACAATACACTCTTGAGGCTTGGTTGGGAACCATAAGATGTCCTAGGAGCAAAATAATTATCAACCCTCCCAGCTTCAAGAGCTTTTCTCTTGTTGCCACTACTTTCAATGCCTATTCTAAGTGGAGGTGAATCAACCAGCTCCTCAATTTCCCTAGTTTCAGTGTCATCTTTTACATGTTTAACAAGTTTTTTCTTTGACCCTTCTACCAAAGATTCTTTCATTCTAGCACGTACATCATGAGAAACTTTTTTACAAGAACAAACTTGACCAGAGACACCAGCTAAATGTTTTTCATTCTATTTATCCCACCTCCTCTATAACTTGATTCACAAAATAGACAGGTAAAGACATTTACTTTCCCTTCTTTCTTAAGGGAAACATATGCCCATGCAGGATCAGTTTTACCAGGTCCAAATGAGGGTGCAGTGCTGTTCGGATTATTGGTGGCACCGGAAGTGGGGTTCGGATTCTCATTTCTGGGATTATTGTTGACAGAACCAGAACCAGAACCAGACGTAGAATTCAAATTCTCATTTCTTTCGGTATTTGTGTAACATCCTAAGTTTTATCAGGCTTTAATAGCCGCTTCTTGGTTGATTTTGAGGATAGATTAGTGATTTAATGTTGATCTTGGTGTTCAGGTTGGAGTTGAGGTATGTTGGAGGAATAGGTGAATAGACCCCTCTCAGGCTTTGTTCACCGCGGTGAAGTTTTACTTCGCCGCGGAAAACCGGGAGTTCTAAGGGGGATTGTCTTTCGGGCAGGTTTGGCTGCGGTGAAGTTTTTCAAGTGAGTGAGGTTTCCCTCTCGGGAAGGTTTCACCAGGGCGAAGGTAGGGGTATGCCGCGGCGAAGGTTTTCTGGGCGAGCGAGAGTTTCCTCCCAGGAAGCTTTCACCGCGGCGAAGTTAGGTTTTCAGGTGAGTAATCCCTCTCGGGATTAGTTCGCCGTGGCGAAGTTCTGGGTTCATCGCGGCGAAAGGTGCTAAATCTATATAGTCGCGAGAGGGTCTGTTGGTGCGAAAATTAGAAAATCTGAAGGAAGAGAGAGAGGCTCTGCTAGGGTTTCGGTGTTGTGGCTTAGGAAAGGTATTTCTAAGGATCCATTACCTCAAGTAAGTGATTTTAACCTCTAATCTTCTTTCTTTATTGGAATTTCTGAGGATTTATGGTGAAACCCTAGAGTTTTCTAGGTTGTTATGGAATTGAGGTTTTTGACCAATTGTTTTGAGTTTAATTGATTGCTTTAGGTTAGTCTAAGTATTTAATCGGCGTAGTTTTCTTGGATTTAAAGAACTTTGAATTTTTGAAGCTAGGGTTTATGGAAATGGGAGGTTTGTGATTGAGGATGATAATGTAGAGATTGATTTTGAGTTTTGTGAATTGGGTTACGTTAAGGAGGGTTAAATTGGATGTTTAATCAGTTTAGAATGTTGTTAGGACTTCTATTGTTCAAATGGGATGATTGGGTGTTGAATTCCTATAGTAGGTCCTTGAGGTTATGAATTTTAATTGATGTTTGGAAAGGAATTAAGGTTTTAATGGATTTTCTTGACCTTGGAGTGTTGCCTTGATGGTTATACCCTTTTTAGTTGGGTAGAGTTGTGGTTGGAGCTAGGAATTTTGTGTCCCCAAGTGTTGTTTTGGCCACATTATTAGTTGAAAGCTAATACATGTTGGTTGTGTGCTTGTGTAGACCGATTGTGAGCCTTGTTGGTGGACGGGGCCGTGTTGTGGTTTGTTATTCCTTGCTCAGGCGAGAGGTAACCACTTTCCAATCCTTTGTACATGCTTTTGTGGTACTGTGAGTGGATTTATGCTTTGTGCTTCGAGTAGCAACTATGTTCAAAGTGTATGTTGTATATTGAAAAGGAAAACCGTCTTGTGGGGTTTAAATTGATATTGATTGAATTTGTAACCTGTGAAAGATAGGCCACTGAAAGAAGTTAATTGTGAAATGATTATTTACTCTTTGATTATGGTTTGAGCATGATGCATGAATTGGGAATTGGTGAGAGTTTTGATTGTTACTACCACGTGGTAAGGCCTCCATTAATGCATGATAGTTGGCTCTTTACGTCCCCCATAGTGAGGGATAGGCCTTTTATGGCCCCTTACATCCCCCATGGTGAGGGATAGGCCGACTTCGGCTCTTGAAAATCCCCCAAAGTGAGGGATATGGTTGATGGGATTGCATCATTGCACTTACATTACTTGTTGTGGCTATCATTTATAATATTACTTGTGAACTGCCCCACTTGACACCTCACGAGCACCTATTTAGTAGTACCTTGAATTGGAAAGATTGGTTACTGGGACGTTGTCTCACCCCGTGGTTTACAATGTTTTCAGGTGAAGGTTCCGGGCGTGTGCCATCGGGAAGAGACGCAGAGGCTTGAGCTTGGTTAGCTTTAGGCCTCTAGCCCTTGTATATGTATGGCTAGTATATATTGCCACATTTAGGATCCCTTTTAAAATATTTTGATTACCCGGCCTTGTTGTAAACTAGAGAGAATGTTATCTCCTTATTTTGGTTGGTCGGAGGCCATTTATAGTGTCTTATGAAACTCTGATTTATTTTGTTGGAAACCATTTGGATGGGCTGATGTGATGTATGTTGTTACCCGGGCCGAAGGCTCGGAGGCCCAGTAGATGTTAATGAATGATTTTTAGTTGCATGCAACGAAGTTTGGGTTTGACCCGAATTTGAAAGTCAATTTCTAAAAATATGCAAATTTCTTTCTACTATAGTAGTTCATTTTAATAGCTTTCCTTTTCTACCATAGTAGTGATTTTATGACGAGTTTATAATGTTTTGGGGTAAAGGGTTTTACAATTTGTATAATCCATGATCAATAATCAGCCCAAATAATCTAACAAAAACTACAAATTAGGGATGAAATAATAAAACAGAGCCAGAGCAAAGCCAGAGCAAATTAATAATCCGAGCCTTCTTCACTTTCCACATTTGGCTGTTTTACCCGTGCCATTTCTTAGGAACTGACAGAATTCAGAGAGAATAATCGGTTGAAAGTAAGTGTTTTGAGGTTGGTGGTAGTCGAAAGGTGGCAGAGTGGGATTCGAGTGGATGGGTGATCAGAAATTTAATGGAATAGTGATTTTTGGACCGTTGCTAGAAACAGGGGAGCGGTTTTGATCGAGTTAGGGTTTGATAACTGACGGGGGTTTTCGAAACTTTCAACATTATAAAGTTTAAAATTATCGATCATGTTATTGATCATCGGATGATCGATCATGTGTTCGATAAATATGAAGAACACTGAAGGCAATTATCGATCACGTTATCGAACAATCAATTATCGAACATGTTATCGATAAAGTTAGTAGAGGAAACGTGTACTTGGTCTTTTTATCAATCATTTGATCGATAATCCATTTATCGATCAGCTTATCGATTAATGCTTACCAAAATTTGAGTATATGTCACAAAAGACTTGCCGCTCTTGATCGATGTTCTGATTGATAATCCATTTATCGATCATCTTATCAATAATCATCGTTCTGAATCTCTCCATTTTCCACACATGCTGTATTTATCGATCAGGTGATCGATAAATTACTTCTATGTAGCTTCATGATTATCAATCTCTTGTTCGATCATTCCATACTTTGTTTACCTCTGTTTTTCTTTGACAAAACAGAGCTTCCTGCAAAACAAATTTCATTCCCAATTCTCTTCGAAAGAAGTAGAACTTCTGTTGATCTAGAGGCTTCTTGAAGATGTCGGCTATTTGATATTCAGTGGGGATGAATTCTACCTTCACATCTTTCTTTTGAACATGATCTCGAATGAAATGATGTCGAACATCGATATGCTTAGTTCGGGCATGATGGACTGGATTCTTGGATAGACTTATCATACTCGTGTTATCACATAGGATTGGAATCTCTTGTAAGTTGATTCCTAGATCCTGTAGTTGTTGCTTTAACCATAGAATTTGAGCATAACAACTTGTAGTGGCCACATATTTTGATTCTGTTGAGGAGATTGCCACAGTATTCTGCTTTTTGCTTGACCACGAGACAAGGCATCCTTCAAAAAATTGACATTGTCCACTGGTGCTTTTTCTATCTTTCTTATATCCTTCATGATCTGCATCTGAGTATCCCATTAGGTATTCTGCTCCCTTCTTTGGATACCAGATTCCCAGATTTTGACTTCCGACAAGGTATCTGAGAATTCTCTTGACGGCTTCTTCGTGTGACTCTTTTGGAGCTGATTGATATCTTGTGCACATTCCCACACTGAATTGCATATCTGGTTTACTAGTCGTGAGATATAGTAATGAACCAATCATTCCTCTATATCTGGTCAGATTCATGTCCTTGCCGTTTTCGTTTGCGTCTAGCGAGATGGTTGAGCTCATCGGAGTTTTTACACTTTTGGCATTTTCTAATCCATATTTCTTTAGCAACTCCTTCAGATACTTCGTCTGGGATATAAATATGCCATTTTTCTTTTGCTTAATTTGTAATCCCAGAAAGAAATTCAACTCTCCCATCATTGACATTTCGAATTCTCCCTGCATTAGCTTAGCAAACTCTTGATAAAGATCTTCATTAGTAGCTATGAAAATAATATCATCCACATAAATTTGAACAATCAAAAGATCTTTCCTACTTCTTTTAATGAATAGAGTAGCATCTACTTTGCCTCTTTCAAATCTTTTTTCTATCAGAAAATTGCTAAGACGTTCATACCAAGCTCTGGGAGCTTGTTTTAAACCATACAAAGCCTTTTTCAGTTTATAAATGTGATCAGGAAAGTTTGAATCTTCAAAACCAGGAGGTTGCTCGATAAAAACTTCTTCTAAAATATATCCGTTCAAAAAGGAACTTTTAACATCCATTTGATATAGTTTGAAATCTTTAATACAAGCAAAGGCTAAGAGTACCCGTATGGCCTCCAATCTAGCTACTGGAGCATAAGTTTCTTCATAATCGATCCCTTCTTCTAGATTATATCCTTTAGCCACCAATCTGGCTTTGTTTCTGACGATTTGTGCAGACTCATCGAGCTTATTTTTGAATACCCATTTGGTGCCTATGACTGGATGATCATTAGGTCTGGGTACTAGTTCCCAAACTTGGTTTCTCTTGAATTGGTTAAGCTCTTCCTGCATTGCGACTATCCAGAATTTGTCGGATGGGGCCTCGTCAACATTGGTAGGTTCAATGTGGGATATGAACGCTAAGAAGCGC